CAGGGCACAGAGGGGACAGGGACACCCCGAGGAGGGCACAGAGGGGACAGGGACACCCTGAACAGGGCACAGAGGGGACAGGGACACCCTGAGAAGGGCACAGAGGGGACAGGGACACCCTGAGGAGGACACAGTGTGTCCCCAGTCCCCGTGGGTCCCCAGGGTGTCCCTGGGTGTGTCCCCAGGGTGTCCCCAGGGTGTCCCCAGCCCCGGGGTGTCCCCAGGGGTGTCCCCAGGATGTCCCCAGGGTGTCCCCAGCCCGGGGGTCCCCAGCCCCCCAGCCCCCCCAGCCCTGCCTCCCCCCAGGATGTTCCGCCGGACGTACACGGCCGTGGGGCCGAGCTACTCCTCCTCCGTGCTCAACTGCCTGAAGGTACCGGGGCGCCCCAGACACCCCAAACACCCCAAAAACAACCCCTAAACACCCCAAAACAGCCCAAACACCCCAAAACAACCCCAAACACTCCAAACCCAACCCCTAAAACAGCCCAAAACAGCCCAAAACAGCCCAAACACCTCAAAACAGCCCAAAACACCCCCAAACAGCCCAAAACCAACCCCTAAAACAGTCCAAAACAGCCCAAACACCTCGAAACAGCACAAAACAGCCCAAAACAGCCCCAAACCAACCCCTAAAACAGCCCAATAACAACCCAAAAACCCTGGGGGGTTGCTGGGAGCCAGTGGAAATCTCTGGAAATCAACGGGAATAACTGGAAATCAATGGGAATCAGTCTCTGGGAATTACTGGGAATCACTGGCGTTTTACTGGGAATCTCTGGGCACCCCTGGGATTCCCGGGCACCCCCCAATGTCCCCGACATCCCCAATGTCCCCAATCCCCCCAGTGTACCCCCAGTGTCCCCGGTGTCCCCAGTGTCCCCGGTGTCCCCAGTGTCCCCGGTGTCCCCGGTGTCCCCGCAGGGCCTGGACCAGTGGTGCTTTGACGTGTTCTCTCTGCACCGCGCGGCCGAGGAGCACTCGCTGCGCACGGTGGTGTTCGAGCTCTTCACCCGCCACAACCTCAACAGCCGCTTCAAGGTGTGCCCGGGACCCCAAAACTCCCCAAAATACCCCAAAATAACCCCAAAATACCCCCACAACCTCAACAGCCGCTTCAAGGTGTGCCTGGGACCCCAAAACTCCCCAAAATACCCCAAAATAACCCCAAAATACTCCCACAATCTCAAC